GACAGGCAAATGCAGTGAAATTTGTAATCTCCCGACAATAAAAGCTACTTGCCCCGGGCGATCAGGTGCTGGTTAACATCGAGGCCTGACAGTGATTATCATGCATCATCTCCATCTGGTTCAAATGGCCTAGTCAAATCCTGGAGCTAAAACTGACAGGAAGTCAGATACGAGCTGCTTTTCTCAGATGCCTTTTACTAAACGTTTATATATAAACTAGTATACAAAGAGGAAGGGGTGGTTCTAAAAGACTCGGGGAGGTGAACAGAAATAACAGAAACATGTTTTGGCAGAATCGATCATTTCATCTTGGAAAGAGGAACAGAGAGAATGAAAAGGTTTCAGCTGTTCTGGTTTGTCATGCCGTCTGCTGCTGTTTCATTTGTTACAGTGATTGGCTAAAACCAAACTGGTTCAGAAGATTCTGCAGGACAGGTTTAGTTGAGGCGGTCTCATATTGATCATGTTGAAGAAAAGTGTAGAGTTCTACACATTACCGATCTGGCTTGCCAGGTTACAACAAAAAATGGATGCTGCACATAATTTTTCAATCTCCTTCCCAATCAAGCTGAATTTTGTGTTGCTGGAATGAAACAGATTGAAGCCTGTGTTTGTAATCAGGTATGAATACTTTTAAAAGGCACTAAACTGGAGCTAGACAGAACCATATGGATTATATAACGGGGGCAGAAACAAAAGAATAACACAAAAAAAGAACAAAGCTTCAATTTTTACCATTCTTTAGTTTATAAACTGAGCCACAAACTTGTCAATTCTACATAATCGTTCAAGTAAATTGTAAAGATAAATCAGTTATGGCCTCGTTTGTCAGCGCAGATCAGCATAAGAAACTGATTTAGTATTACACTTCAAAAACTGATCTAAAAATGGAAACGTTTTTGTAAAATGTGTCTATTTGACCTAAATTTGAGTAGATAAATAGAACGATCTGCCAAAGGAAGGTGGATTTTGGCCCTTAGATAACATGCACTTGAAATAAGAGGATTTATTTTTCTTTCTTTAAACATAAATGATCTTATTTCATCTGAAAATTATCTTTCCTTCGTGTTCTAATCAAGCTAATACACATTTATCTCAAGAAAAATGTAGTTATATTTTTGCAGTTGTTTTCAGTATATGGGGGGCAGCACCAGTTCTAGAGGGGCAGTGGCCCCTGTGGGCCCCCGTGTTGAACCGCCCATGGTTCACCAATCCTTACATGCAGTGGCCACGCCTTGAGTTTCCATGCAGTGCCTCTCCCTCCTTTTTCAATCCTTTGTTTGCGTTTTGTTTGATTTGTAATAGATGTTCCTTTTTTAATTTAAATTAAGACTTGTGTTTCATTTGTTATCATTTTTATCATGTAAATGGTTAAAAAAAATAAAGCTAAACAGTCCCCTAAAATAATCGGCCAACCGTTAGGCTACCTGCTCTGTGACAAAGTGGATGCGGCTGTACAGCTCCGACTGCGTGTGGACAGCCTGAGGCTGGTTGTCCCGGTAACCCTTCAGGAACAGGTACTTGAACGCTGCCGTGTTTTCCTCTTGGAACGTCACCACCATCTGGTTGCTCAACCCAAACAGCACCAGCTGGGAGGGAAAAGAAAACCTTAGCTTACAAAAGATGCAAGGAAAGAGCAAAGGGGTCATCTGAGAACTCCTCTGTGGATCATGATGGCGTCTACCTGCACGGTCACAATGATGATTTTTAGCAGCTGAAGGCCCAGCTTGAAAGGCTTGCGTCCCTTGGCGTGGTACTTGTCGCAAGGGCTCATGAAGAAGTACTTGAGTTTTCTCCTCAGATCCTCCTCCTCTTCCTCCTCAGCTTTATTCAGTAGCTGTCGGTGAAACTCCCCGTCCAGCAGAGCGGTGGGATGGTGGCTCCCGCATCCGAGAACATCCTGAGACCCGTAGCTGTTCATGGAGGAGAGCAGCCTTTGTTTTTCTAAAAGAAAGAGAAAAGATCGTAGATCAGAGCAGAACCCAGGTGGTCTAATGAACGCAACAATTATGATAGCTATATGAGTTAAAAAAGCAGTTCTTCAGTGTAGGGCAGAGGTCACGGGTTAGGTCACCTGCTTTATAATCAGAAACCGAAGCTGATTTAAAACATTTATAAATTACCACGTTATCCGACGGCAGTGTCTAATTTCACTTGCGCTTCTTCTGTTTGTATGGTAAAGCCCTCCAGGACCAGGCTACGCGTGAAAGACATTAGCCAATGAGCTGCATCAGTCTGGGCTGCTGCTGCTGCTACTTTTAGACACAGCAGGCAAACCTGTGGCAAGCTGGACGATGGATAACGAGGATGAGAAAACGTGACAGAAAGTGGACTGCTGGAAGAACTGCGGTGAACTGGTGAAATAAAAGTGAAATGGTGTGCTCAAAGATGACCCTGCACATTTAGAGTATGTTTGGCTGAACCTGCTGCTGTGAAGCAGGATTCTCCACCATGAACAGAATCAAAAATAAATATTGATCCAGGCTCAAAATGAGAATGGCTTTGTCTCCATTCAAACCAGGTTTAAAGCCTTGCAGGGCAGCATAACGCCCACTGCTCTCATTAAGCAGTTCAGTTGTTTTTTAAAGTATGTGAGTCAGGAAACTGCCCTAAAAACAGCCCTTTTTTTATTAGGGTAAACATTAAATTAACATCAATATTTATTATTTCCCTTATTCCCTGCCTGCCTGCCTTAAAATTCCCACAGCATTCTTCAACTAATACAAAACACAGCAAAATCGTATTTTTTCTTTTTTGATTGATTTCTGTTTTTTAAAGTTATTTCAACAGAGTACCTAAGTACCAACAGATTGACAACAAGCTTGACAAAGCCATGATGGCAATTATTTTTCATCCGAGTAGTATGCAGTCCTTCATATATACCAAGGGCGTAGGTTTGATTTCAGCTTTGGTAGAGACATTATTGGTCTTCAGTTTCATTGCTCTAATGTCATTGGTCCTTTGCAAAAATATGCATGCTCTTTTTCTATGCTTAATCATTCTCCTTTTTTTTTTAAAGAGAACAGCAGCATTTCTTCTACATTAATACAAATCTTATAAGCACTACACACACTAGATGTTGCTTATCAATGTTTAAAGCATCATTGGCTCTAATCAATGTGCAATTGGGACTTTTTTCCACTTTGAAAAGGTTTGCATTTAAACTTACCAGTGCCTATTTAACCAAATATAGTCTAATTAGTAGTAGGGGTGTGCATTGGCACTGCCCTCACGATTCGATTTGATTACGATTCACCAGGTAACG